GTTAGTATTGCTATTATAATCATTATTATCACTATCATTATGAGAGCGTATATAAGTTAAGGGCTTCAAACAACCATTATTGTTGAAAAGATGGATTCACTCAACCAAGGACCCCAAATTTGTCAAACAGTGGTCTTATACGAGAATACTCATTTCCATTATACAATAATCAATAGGATAATATATAGAGGCTCCAGGAAACCTATTCGATTTTGAGCAGTTTTGAGAAGTTTTTTATTTATTTGTGTTGTATTAATTTAATCTCAATGTACCAAGATGGAAAAAAAAAATTCTTCATGCCGACTTTACTGTTCATTTTCAAATTCAATATCTTAAAGGAGATACATATGTATTACCTCGTTAAAAGAAAATGAATAATCATAGTAAATATCACGAGATTATAGTCACTGTGACAGGGATATTTACAAACAATAAACATTAAAAGTCAGTTTATGTTTACAGGATAAATACGTAATATCAACACAAATTGTGATTTTTCTTTATCATGATGATAACATAATGGTACAAATCATATTTTCTGTTAACATCTCACGTTCTTTTACCTTTTCCTTTTTTCTCTTCGCTCTCTCCTTTTTTTTTCTGGGGGGGGGGGGTGGGGGTACGTATCCATTTCTACGCCACTGACCATATCGACACATGACCCACACCTACAATCGATTCCCATAAATGTCCATGATTTTGGTAGAGCTTTTGTTTTGTAATTTATCATAACTTTAGATAAGAATATATATTTCCGTGGCATTTAGAACAGGAAATATTTATGTACAGAGAATACAAATTTATGATAGATGTTACGTTTCAACTATAGTCTATAGTTGGGAATATCTAAGACCTAAACATCCCCGATTACAATAGAAATACAAGTTTTGTTCGGTTCTTCTTTTTTATGAACAGTACAGGCGCACGGTCAAATATGGGAGACTATCTCTTATTAAGCAGACTGTCTCTAATGTCGGAGACTTTTGTCATGACTTTTGGTAGCATATTTGAAACTTGCGCTGACATTTCCTGTACCTTTTGGAAGCAAGTCTCCAATATGGGAGACAGTCTCTCAAGTAGCCAGGAGAGTCTCCCGATCGACCCTGCGCCTAGTCCCTACTGATGAATGCAGTTTACTTGTCTTACTTTAAGATCTAGTTGGGAAGTAATTATCTAGAGAACTTTATTTACACACGACTTGTAACTTTAAACAAGAACAATGTAACATCATGTCATCTCTATAATTTAACATCGCATTCTCGTGAAATATGAGCCACTTTTCATTCACTTTGACCTTCTTCGTAGCAGTTCATCTGAGCATGGGGCTAGGGGAGATCGAAATATTCAGTCTCTGTCGACGGTTGTAATTCTGCAGAGACTACGTCTGGTTCTACTGACTTCCTTCTTTAAGGCTTTTGTTTTGTTAAAGAATTCCCAATACGATATACCATTATTTATTTGGTTATTTCTGTATAAGTTAGGGGATGTGCCATTTCCACCTTTTCAGATTGTACAAGTAAGAGCCAACGACCAACGGTTTATTTCACGAGAATGCTTTACAATTTATAAATGTAGACTGGTCTACGCAAATTATCAAACTTACGATAAAAATGAGTCCTGGATTCCGAAGTACAAAACGAACCAAGTACAATCCAATCTTGTCTGCGAAGAAAAATGAAATGGTCGACAAAATCCACCACCCATAACCACAGAACTAGAAAATACCAGTATCCATTTCTACGCCACTGACCATATCGACACATGACCCACACCTACAATCGATTCCCATAAATGTCCATGATTTTGGTAGAGCTTTTGTTTTGTAATTTATCATAACTTTAGATAAGAATATATATTTCCGTGGCATTTAGAACAGGAAATATTTATGTACAGAGAATACAAATTTATGATAGATGTTACGTTTCAACTATAGTCTATAGTTGGGAATATCTAAGACCTAAACATCCCCGATTACAATAGAAATACAAGTTTTGTTCGGTTCTTCTTTTTTATGAACAGTACAGGCGCACGGTCAAATATGGGAGACTATCTCTTATTAAGCAGACTGTCTCTAATGTCGGAGACTTTTGTCATGACTTTTGGTAGCATATTTGAAACTTGCGCTGACATTTCCTGTACCTTTTGGAAGCAAGTCTCCAATATGGGAGACAGTCTCTCAAGTAGCCAGGAGAGTCTCCCGATCGACCCTGCGCCTAGTCCCTACTGATGAATGCAGTTTACTTGTCTTACTTTAAGATCTAGTTGGGAAGTAATTATCTAGAGAACTTTATTTACACACGACTTGTAACTTTAAACAAGAACAATGTAACATCATGTCATCTCTATAATTTAACATCGCATTCTCGTGAAATATGAGCCACTTTTCATTCACTTTGACCTTCTTCGTAGCAGTTCATCTGAGCATGGGGCTAGGGGAGATCGAAATATTCAGTCTCTGTCGACGGTTGTAATTCTGCAGAGACTACGTCTGGTTCTACTGACTTCCTTCTTTAAGGCTTTTGTTTTGTTAAAGAATTCCCAATACGATATACCATTATTTATTTGGTTATTTCTGTATAAGTTAGGGGATGTGCCATTTCCACCTTTTCAGATTGTACAAGTAAGAGCCAACGACCAACGGTTTATTTCACGAGAATGCTTTACAATTTATAAATGTAGACTGGTCTACGCAAATTATCAAACTTACGATAAAAATGAGTCCTGGATTCCGAAGTACAAAACGAACCAAGTACAATCCAATCTTGTCTGCGAAGAAAAATGAAATGGTCGACAAAATCCACCACCCATAACCACAGAACTAGAAAATACCAGTTCTGTGCACGTGACGTGGCAAAGTGTATATGCACGTGTGCAGTTGATGCAACTCATATGCTGCATTTTTCACGCATGCGTGATTAAAAGAAATTTGAAGAAAGGGTACCAAAAGTCACTTGGCGAACGGTATCTGAATTTCAAAGAGAAAATCACATTTCCAGAAAGTTTATGTTCTGCCCCTTTATATGACACCTCCAGGCGCGGATCCACGTGGCGATTTTTCCAGCCTGCCCCCCCCCCCCCCTATCCCCAAAAACTGTTTAAAAAAATGGGATAATAACGTAACTTTAACCTTTTTTCAAAACAAAAAACAAAAGCGGCCCCCCCCCCGAAAAAAAAGGGGAAAAAATGATAATAAATACTTTTTTTTTTAATTCGCCCACACCAAAAAACTATTAGTGGTTCTCTTTTCCATCACCCCCCCCCCCCCCCCCCGCGCATTCACCGGCTGGATGAATCGCTGCTAAATATTTTCTCACGAATTGGGCGCCCCCCCCCAAAAAAAAAAAAAAAAAAAAAAAAATAATAATAATAATATATATATATATATGTGCTCTTACCCCTACCCCGCTTATTCACCGGCCGAATGAGTCGGCGCTTAAAAAAAAAAATGATTTGGGCCCCCCCCCCCCCCCTCCCCCTCCTGTCGCCGGCTGGATCCGCCCCTGGACACCTCCATCATGAAAAATAAGCCAGGAATTTATAAAATTATGTCTGGTTAAAGTAATGCTTGCATTTCCATAATTTTATTAAACGAATTCGTTTCCACTGGCTGCCTGCAAACACAAACTCCGTTTCGTTGGCGATCAGCCATGCATGAAGTCTTTCGTTTTCTTTGTTGTTAGAGCAGACAGCCATTGGAACGGATTCGTTTTCCTGATTGAGGTGTCATATGAAAGGGCAGAAAATGATCTTTCTGGAAATGTGACTTTCTCTTTGAAATCCAGATACCGTTCGCCAAATGGATTTCTGGTACCCTATGCATCATATGAGCTAAATCAAATGAAAGAGGAGGATCTAAATGTTACAAATAAGTGTCATTTATTAATCATAATTGTCATTAAGTTATGATAAAACATCGATAATTCTCGGTTTCGTTTTTTCTAGGGCAAACTCTATTCTTGTTTAAAGATTACTTGTCGAACAGACAATATATTTCATTCGATATACTGCCTCCATTCTTATACCGATTAGGAGTGGTGTTCTTCAAGGCTACATTATAGGCACATTTCTTTTTATTTGAATACCTTGAATTTGGAGTTACCAAAAATGTCCACAGGGTTTAAGTGCAATCAGTTATCTCTTAATCTAAACAAAACTAATTTAAAACAATAACAGTTTGCTATATTATTACTTTTTAGATTCCAATCCTAATGTTCAGATACTTCAATAACTTACTTCCTATGGCATTCTATAACCTGTTTGTCACAAATAACACAATTAATTCTTATCCGACACAAAACTCTCAGAACTTTCATTTGATGAACCCAAATATGCTAATTGTGCATAAATCTAGCTGACACCATGGACCTGACTTATGGAATATTCTCCAACAACTGTTAAATCATGTAATACGATATATTCTTTCAAGGCTGCCATAAAGCATACATTATTGTCATAAAAGTCATAATTCAATAAGCCCTCCAAACGCAAACATTCTACACAAACACACACTTGCATATGTACATTACACACATAAGAACATAACATAATAACAACTTTATTTAACACAATCATTTCGTGCTTTTTAGAAATATGTAATTCTTTCATTATGCGGCTGTCACAATTAATTCATATCTGATTACATGCAAGAACTGTATATCTTTCTGGTAGTACTTTATGTCGTTTGATGTTATCTTTCTACTAGATAAAATTCTAGACAGAATGTTATCTTTCTTCTTTTTTCCTTTTTTTGTATGTTTGATCGAATCCAGAGAGAACCACAACTTTTACTTATAATTGGACATTTATAAAAAAAAAAAAAATAATAATAAAGAGTAACACAATACATAACGTAAGACAGACAAATATCAGAACATTAAACAGAGCATACTGCAGGCAGCCACAAAATAAAGTATATTTCAAACCTCCGTTGAATGAAATGGGTGGCAAGTTTGTAACGGTCATACGGTATTCAAGATCTCGAGAGCCAGCAATGTTGAAAGTTACTCACTCTCGTTTTCGCCTTCGTCATGATCATCCTCGCCCACGCTAGCGTCCTGGTCGAGAAAACCTTCCTCATCATCACCATCGCCCACGCTAGCGTCCTGGTCGAGAAAACCTTCCTCATCATCATCATCGCCCACGCTAGCGTCCTGGTCGAGAAAAGCTTCCTCATCTTCACCATCGTCCACGCTAGCGTCCTGGTCGAGAGAACCTTCCTCATCATCACCATCGCCCACGCTAGCGTCCTGGTCGAGAGAACCTAGGTCAAGATTATTCCCATCAGATGGGCAAAACCGTGTGTCTTCAACTTTTTGTAGCGCATCCGCTGTGGACAGATCGTTGAGGTCTCTATCCAATTCCTCTTTCAGAACTAGGAATTCCATGTAACGTGTTTTCAGTGCATCAGAGTCTCGAAACTTACATGTACTAGTACTTGCAACGCCCTCTTGTACCATAAGACCACTCTTTAAATTAATGTTCTTTGAAATAATCAGCTGCAATGAATGTTTCTGGCGTCCAATTAAATCTGTCATTACCTTGCCTGATTGTTTGCGGATGTCGTCCACCTCTTTTGATAGTCTTTTCTGGTGTCCCCTAAGAATCTCTGACTTTTCACGAAAGGAATTCTTTATTTTGCTATCTAGATTCTCCAGATGAGATTGCATATCACGCATATGTTGCTCACCACTGGTAATAGATACTTTGATCCGTGCTTTCTTCTTATCACTTCTTTTAATAAGAGAGCTTCTTTTCTTGTTCAACTCTGCTACAATTACTTCCTTTACCTTAACCCCGCACCCACAACAAAAAGTGAGTCATTTGACACATTTAAGCATAATTTTCGTGAGTCAGGTGTAAATTGACTCATTAATAACAACCAATGAGTCTCTATTGTCTCATTTATATTTCACCAGTGTGTCAATCATGAGCTGACGCATTTGCAAAATGCTTCGACTGACTCACATGGTCGTAAAAAATGAGTCAAGATCGACATAAGAGCATTTTAGAAGAAAAAAGTGAGTCAACTTGAAAGTGAGGCTGTATGCATGCGCGCGCATGCTTTCGTGACGTCATCCAAAATGCGCATTCTCGAGCCATATTTGAATTCCCGATCGACGACGCGACGTCGCCATCTTATATCTTGGATTCAGAAGAGTTTTGACTGCAGCTAGTGAAAAATTGGTACGCATAATTATTCATATGGTTTTAAACGATGATTTTTATGACTGGATTCGTGGGCTGAATCTTATGATTATTATACAAATGATGCATGCGTTCATTTTACGATATCCGCACTCGAGTTGATGAGGCTGTGTGTAACTTAACTATCACTATGAACATGACTGACAATGAGAGCGGACAAAATATACAGTTCCTCAGGTAGACAAAGGAACATCCCTTACTGCTGTAAAAATGTGTAGAACAGGTGTCACATGCATATTCACCTTTTTACATAATAGCTGTGAAGGGATGTTCCTTTGTCTACCTGAGGAACTGTATATTTTGTCCGCTCTCATTGTCAGTCATGTTCATAGTGTATAGATTCTACTGTATCGCACGAAGCCGTGTCGAATGAAAACATGCATGATCTTGCATCATTGTTTTATACAACGAAACTCCTAGATCCTTGTTATTTGATGTAAAACGAATTAATTCAAGATTGTTTCGTGATAGTATGGGTGACAAATAAATCTCAAGTTAAGGCTTAATTTAGTGCGTACAAAGTAGATTTTTCAGATTCGGGTAGCGGGACCACCGATTACATCGCTAAAATGTGATATTTTAGGATATATCTTCCATTGCAAATGTGGACAGTGACTCTGGCATGGTATGGTATGTGTGTGATAGGCCTAGGGAGTAGGGGGGTCTATGTCATCATACACCCACAACAAAAAGTGAGTCACCCTTACTCAAATTGATGAGTCACTGGTTTGTCCGTACAGCGAAACACTTGAAGGATCATGTGAGTCACTATTACTCGATACAAATGAGTCTCTTAGATAAATAAGACTCATTTGTATCGAGTCATAGTGACTCACATGATCCTTCAAGTGTTTCGCTGTACGGACAAACCAGTGACTCATCAATTTGAGTAAGGGTGACTCACTTTTTGTTGTGGGTGCGTGACCCTGATGTTTATCAAGCAAACAAGTCAGACAGATGAATTCCTTGCAAACCTCACACAGAATGTCTTTGTAGACTTGACTGTGCAGGGAACAGTACTCTGATGATTTACCATTGACCTTGAGATTCACATGTAATTCCTCCTCGATGCCTTTTACTGAAAAATTGGGTGGAAGTCCCGAGATTCTATTTTCCCCCAACTGGGTGTGTTCCTTACAAAGCGGACACTCCATGAAATCTTGATCCCGGTTCTTTTTATCATATAAGTCGAGACAAACCTTGCAAAATGTTTGTCCACATAATAGGAGGGTGGGGGTTTTGAAGGGGTCGAGACATAGTGAACACACCAGACTTTCAGGCAGCTGTACGAGTTCTACCTTTTCAGCCATAATGCCGTCAGTCGATCAGAGGCATAAACTTAGCGGCGAAATGTGAGCAAGAACGTTCAGCCACACATATAACAAGCTGTGAAAGTCGAGGGCAGAAATGGAAATGCCACTTTGTCTGAAATAAGAAAAAATAATAATTTATGTTGCATATTATTAGATTATAGTGCTTATTTACCTTTATCACTGTACTCTCTACACAATGTATACCAATTACAATATTGCCCCATGATTTGTATTGATTTTCATGTGTGTGACACTGAATAAGAATTAGTGATGATATCAATGATGGAAGACCGTTGTCCGTTCAAACTGGAATGCTGCCATAGCCATAGGCTCAGTCTTGGGCAGGGGGGGGGGGGGCGGGGCAACAGTCTGCAATTAGTCCACTAAACTGTTGTTTTTGAATTTCATTATTGTCACATCATCCTTTTGAAAAATTAAAAGTTTCGAGTCACCCAATCCCAAATTGCCCACAGAAAATTAAATTGTTACGGGCATATTTGATTGTAAATTTCGTCAGCGAGTAAAGCGAACGAGCCCTCCCCCCCCAAAAAAAAAAACAGTAAACAAATTGTTTTGTACGCTTGCAATCCTCAAGGAATATTCATGAATACAAACCTCAATACCTGAATATGAGGATATTCGGCCATACCGTTGCGCGGAATTATTTTGACAATGATGTATTGCTAATAGATCTAGATAATAGTATACATTCTCAGATTTTATTGAATAATACTTTGCCAGTGTTTGTTTTGCGTGACAGCTAAAGCATGTGTATGCTACTATGCTTATCAACTAGGGGACCTACGCCCTTAAGTCATAAATGACAGTAATGAGGATTAATGCCCCACAAAAGGGCACTAATATGGCACATCGAAACGGTTGTGATCATAGGGCCTCACAGTTTCTTTTCCCGTATGTCTTCTATCTTTCACTCCCATCTCCATTTGGAGTTTTTTTTCTCTGCTGTACACTTCATCAAGGAAGCAGATCTGATCACCCAAAGCTCTTTTCGATAATTTGATAAAACAATAGGTATTACCAGGGAGATGTGAGCTTTTACAGTAAACATCTACCTGTTATTACTGTACTGATTAATACCTTGTCAAGTGTGTGTGAGTAGTGATCGGGTAGGCCCTATTGTTCCTTTACTAAACCTAGCAAACTATTCAATAAAACATGTCCTCAGGAATGAACTGGATATGAACTCTATGTCGGCCACATTAATTATGTCTGTTTGAAATATTAACAGCGTATAATAGGAATACTTACTCATGAATTTGCAGCATATTTGTATTTCATTATAGTCATATTTTTGTAACAATATGTACATGGAGCCATCCCTATATTTCATTATATATGAAATGGTCGAGTATATAATATATGGCGCCCCCCCTCCCACAAAACTAGAGCATGTTAATTTTAAATATTTTAATTGATAACTAGAATCTAATATGCCAAACGTTGTGAAATAAATGTAGTAATTCAGTATCTGCGATTTCAACCTTGAACCACCTGCTTTTAAAGTAGATATTCATTGATTTTAAAAACTAACTTTTTGTTCATTATTGCAAAGTTGAAACTTTGATTCGACAAGGTAATCTAAATGTAATGCTTGGAAACATTCGAAGTAATGGTTATTATAAATTACAAAACGCTTAAATACAGCCCCGGCATAGCACCTGAAGAGCTCTCCGAACGCTGCTGAGATGTGTGAGATCACAGTATGGACATGACTTGCACAAGCAGACGATGTCCCATGACATCCCACACATTTCCAGTGCCTGTGTTTTCATCTTCTCTTGAGTTCTTTCTCTTACTTTACTACCGTCAGGCTAAATGTATAATCTATTGCCTCACTCTAAACCCCGCGCATGGTTTTATTTTGATGACAAATGCAGCGATACAAAAATAAAAGAATCTGTCGCTTGTAAACAAAATAAGACGCCATTGTATATTCAGCTGCACGCACCGGGGTATGTTCGGCGTTTCAAGAGCGAACAAATGCCGTCCTTATATCATTCAGGGGTTTTTTCAATTTGAAAGTCTGGTTTCTTTGATTGTTAATTAACCCCTATCCTGTGTATTTACAAGCAAAAGATTTTAGTTATCAGAATCGGGTCATATCCCCTTTTGAATGGTTTGACATGCCATTACATATATATACACTAAACTCATTATAATTTGAGAAATAATAGCTTTGCAATTATGTTCATTCTCTATGGGATGTCGTCTGCTTGAGCAGTGTTAGTCCATATAGTGACGTCATTAAAACATCGTTATTTTTCCGGCGAATCTCTCGTATATCCCAGCTGCTATGGAGGTGGTTGTATTTGTATTTTTATAAATCACCCGATATGTAGTTGACGTAAAACTTGTCCGATGTCCATCTGTTAGCTTACCAGTTTCCAGTGATACATTAGTTGACATATTTGTGATCTTCTTTGAATTTCACCTTTAACACAATACCCCCAAAAAATTCCACCTATATATCTACAGGCAAACCAAAAATGCAATAGAACTGCTCGCTTAAAAACCTACGTAGGCCTGTGATAATGGCAAGCCCCAAACTTGATTATTAAATTAATTTGATAATAGGCCTATCAAGAAACACTGTTTCGTGGCTGTTACTTCATCAATCCAAAAGTTAGTATTACTCCTCTAACTATCAATGTTTGAGATGGATATAAGCAACGAGCTTGCAACTAACATCATTTTTTAACCTACATTGTTGAAAAGAATGAATTCCCTCAACCGAGGATCCCATTTTGTCAGGGGGTGGTCTTTTACAAGAATACTCATTTCCTCATACAACAATAATAACACTATTCAGTTCTTGTAAAGCGCATAATACGTTATGAAATAACATC